TTTGGGGATCCCTCAGACCTGAAAATTTGGGGATTTGAAGGCCTCGGAGAGACCTGACCTGTTGACTCCCTGTGATTGTACTTTCTTAATGATGCGAAGAGACGTCTGTGTGAGCCTGTAGTTGAGGCTGCCGGGAAAAGGAACGATGTCACGTGCTTTTCTGTGCATGGAAGTGCAGGGATCCAGACCCGCACTGGATACACACGTCTTGCAGCTGGGAGTAGAGTTCGTATTTCTGAGCCTAACTGCCCTGACCACTCTGCAGTCACGGATGCGGAAGGGTCCACTCCATTTGGTGTACTTGGCCACATTCTTAGGAGACAGTCTCAGTTTTCTGAGGAGTCAAGAGTCTTGGTTAAGGTTTAAGGGGCTGCGTTTGCTGCATCCAGAGGGACAGATGGATCCAGAGGGACAGATGACCCAAACAGTCCATGTGGCTGTTTTAAGAAGACACGCTTGGAGCAGGATGAAAATCTCACCCGGAAGCCCCTGTGACTCTGAATCATGGAGGTGGGTATAGATCTCAGCACTAGATCCTGATATTTCTGGCTATGTGGTCCAGCTCAGGGCAGTGTTTGGTCCCACAGATATATGTGAAATCACATTATTTTTTAATGGGATTACAGACCTCGAGATCTGTCTACTCCATAGTAGGAAAGGGTGGCTGTAAGGAATAGAAAGCCATTTAAAATAGCTCAGATAAAAGGGTGACTAATTGGGGAATAATAAAAGGGATTCTCGTGACAAGAAAGTACAGAGTTAAGTCCAGCCTTGTGGGAACTAGAAAGTGGTCTGGCAATTCGTCTTCCCCTCTCTTCCTTTGTGGTGCCGCCTGGCATCTGTTTCTGAGAGGCAGCAGACTGGCCTCTCTGCCTCCTTGTGGTTTCTGTCTCTCCACAACTTTGGCTTGCACCGGGAATTCGGCACTACCTCCAACCCCATCTCAACAGGACTCTGCAAGTACCGCACTGTCCATCTATGGCTGCCATCTCTGGGATTCTCCAGTGGTTTTTAGGAGAGTGTATCAGTTATCTGTTGCCACAGCCATGCTGTGTAACAATCATTAACAACTTCTCAGAGGGGTATAACGATAAACATTTATGTTTATGTACCAGTCTGGTCTGTGGGTTGCTGGGCTGCGTGGAGCTTGCTGGGACTGTCATGTGCACCTGTGATCAGCTTTGGGTTAGCTGGGTGGCCCTGAGAACCTTGGATAGGCTTTCCCACATGTCCGGTTGTCACCAGCGGTGCACGGACAGACGCGGCTCTGCTCTTTGTGTCTTATCCTCCAATAGGCCAGCTCAGTCATGTCCTCACAGAAGAGCAAAGAACCAAGCACGTGGAAGGACTCAAGCCCTCTAAAGCCCCAGTCTGAGAACTTGTACACCATCTCTTCTGCATCCTGTTGTCCAGAGTAAGTCACGGGCCAGCCTAGATTCAAGGGAAGGGGAAATTGGATCTACCTCTTGATGGGAAAAGCTGCAATGTCATGTTGCAGAGGGTATGGGTGCTGGGAGGGCTGGAGAGTTGGGGCCCCTTTTGCAACTACTGGATCACAGAGAAGGCAACGGATTGGCTGTGAGCCAGACCCAGGGGTTGGTTCCCTTAGGTTCACACGCTCAGTTCCCTGTGACTTGGATGTGTGTGTATGTGGAGAGAAGGGGAAGGTCACATGACATAGAGGGGTGTTCTTTTCAGTAGCTGTTGTTGGGTCAGGGTAACTGAGAAACGTTCAACATCTGCTTACTCTTAAGACAACTTCCCATTTCGGTCTGGACAATGGTTACTACTTAGACTGGCTGTGAGTCCTTTAACACTCCGGGGAAGAGGCTGCTTCGTTTGGCCTCAGCCAGTGTATGTTATGCTCCCAACTGGAGTCATTCAGGAATGGCATGTGCTTCATAACTCTTTTGAAGACTGAAGGCTGGTTGTTTTGCAGGATGTTCTTAAATTTGAGTTTAGCTGGTGTTTCCTCACAATTATATTCGTATCATGCGTTTTGGGGCAAGAATACCACCCAAGTGATATTGTGTCTTTTTCAAGGCATCATGTCAGGAGGCACATGGGGTTGCTTTGTCCCAGTTTTGGGGGCGTGAGTTTTGCTCACTTGGCTAAAGGGGTATCTACCATGTTTCTTCATTATAAATGCAATTCTCTGTCTTCAGACTTGATAAATCACCTGCGGGGAGATAGTTTGAGACTATGGAAATATCTTAATCTTCACCACACATACACTGATTTTATCATCTGTTCATAATTTCCTAATTCCGTCATTCCTTTTATGTTGAGTAACTGGCATTCTGTTGTAAGAAAGAACTTTCTCTTCCCCATTTGTGAACTTACTCTTTTTCAAAAAAAAAAAAAAAATTGTATCATTATGGGCTCCTGGATTCTTATTTTACTCAATGTAACATACTTATTTTGAGGTCTGAGTTGTCTCAAATTTGGCAGTGGAGGCCCCTTCAAGCTGATTCTCACATCCTCTTGATGGGCCTCCATTCTTTGAACACCACCTTGCTTTTGGGTACGAGTTCTCACCTCGTCTGCCTCAGCCCCTAAATCAACATTTTTCCCAGAGGCATTTGCTAGTTCCTTTGAGTGGAGAATGATGTTTATTTTTATAAATAAATTTAAATTGATTTTTGAGAGAGAGAAAACATGAACAGGGGAAAGGCTGAGAGAGGGGGACAGAAGATTCTAAACAGGCTCTGCACTGACAGCTTTGGTGCTGACAGCGGTGAGCCCAGTGGGGTGGCTCAGACTCACAAACCAGGAGATCACGACCTGAGCTGAAGTCGGACGCTTAACCGACTGAGCCACCCAGGTGCCCGAGTGGAGGTTGATATTTAGAAAGCAAGATCTGAGTGCAGGCTGTCTGTACCGTGCTACCTATGTGTCGTTGCTTCTAAGAACCTCTTAATTTTACTTCCATGATAACCTTTCTGATATTTTTGTCTATGTAGGTTCATCATTGAGATTTTGCCTATCCCAGAACTTCATAGAAAGGCAATTAATTATACAGTAAATATTGTTTTTGTATCTGGGTTCTTTCAACTAACATAATGTGTGTAAGAGGCATTAATGTTATTGCATGTGTCATTAGTTTCCTCTTTTTACTAAGCAGTACTTACTCTGTTTTATGAGTGCATCACAATTTGTTTATTCACTCTCCTGTTGATGGACATCTGGGTTATTTCCACTTCGGGGCTATAAAGAAAAAACCCGCTATGAGCATTCATGTAAATGTGTTTTTTGTGAACTTAAATATTCATTGCTCCTGGATAAATACCTAAAAGTAGAATTACTCGATTAATGGTTTAGATGTCTATTTTTCCTTTTTCTTTTGTGTTTGGTGGGGGGATGAGTAACAGTTCTATTGAATATAGCTCACATGTAATTAACTTTATGAGAAACCAGATAGTTTTCTAAAGTGGTTGTACCATTTAGTACTTCCAGCAACAATGTATGAGAGTTTCTACTGTTTCACAACCTAGCCAGTATTTAAAGTCATCGGTATTTTAAATTTTAGCCATGCTAGCGGGTATGTAGATGCATGTCATTGCAGTTCTAATTTATATCTCTCTGATGACTCATGATGGTGAGGGCTTTTTCGTGTGCTTAGGTGTTATTGGTATATCTTCTTTTATAAAATGTCTGTTCAAGTCTTCTGACAATAAAATAATTTAAATATCTTGTTTTTTGAGTTGTAGGAGTTCTTTGTACACTATTCTATAAATTGAAGCTGTAGAAAAATCTCTACATTTTTATTTACCTGAAAAAAGATATCTTTATTTTACCTTCATTTCTGAAGGCTTTTTTTACTTAATATAGACTCCTCGGCTGATGCTTTTTTTCCTGACATTTTTAAAGATGCCCTTTGATTGTCTTCTGGACTTTATGGTTTTTGATGAGACGTTAGTCATCATTTGTATATTTGTTCCTTTGTATGTATTGTACTATTATTTTTGAAATAGTTTTACTTTCTCGGCTGAGATTCCTCATCTGTTTTATATTTATGACAGTGTTTTCCTTTAAAATCCTAGGACATGTTTATAATACCTGTTTTGAAGTGCTTTTCTGCTCATGTGAACATTTGGACCGTCTCAGAGTTGATATCTATTGATGGCTATTTTCTCTTGGCTGTGAGTCTCACTTTTTGTTTCTTTGCATGCCTGGTAATTTTTTTTATTGTATCCTGAGGATTTTGAAGGATACCTTGTATGACTTCTGGATTCAGTTATCTTTCTTTGAAGAATGTGGGGCTTTGCTCCACCAAGCTGTTGACTCAGTTGAGTTGAAACTCCAAACTCAGACTCCTTTGCTGTGGATAGAAGCTGAAACTCCTCAGTTTCTTCAACTTCCAGGCTGAGAACTTTTTGCTGAGAACCTTGGAATCTTCCCTATGCACCCACAGTTCAGGAGTCAACAAGATTTTGGGGTAGAGTTTTTATGCCGATTTTAGAAGTTTGGTATTTTGTGGCTCTCTCCTTTCCAGGGTTTCCCCCTTGCTTTCTACCCTTCTGGCAGCCTTAAACTCCATTCTCTGACTCTTTAAACCAGTAACGGTGAGGATTTTTGCTTGAGGTACAGCCACTCTGGGCTACATCGATTGGGGCCTGTTCTTTCTTAGGTTGGAGCTTAGTCAGCTTCCCTCCAGTTTTGGTCTGCTTTTGGTAACTCTCCATTGCCTTCAAATGGTTGTTTTGTCCAGTTTGTATGCTGTCAGGGGGGCTAGCACAACACAAGTTACCATACCATTACTGGAAGTGTAACTCCCTGCATTTGTATATGATATAAATGTTCCCTTATTTAATGTCTGCCTCTCTCCCTAGAGGGAACTCTCTCAGAACGGACCATTTTGAGTCTGCTTACTGTTGCATTTTCATTGCTTGGTATTTAGTAGTCACTCAACAAATAATAGCAAGATGAATAAATGAATGTGCTATTTAATTCTTACAGCTCCCACGTTGTGTTCTTTCCATCTCCCCCTCTGTTCTCAGCTTTGCCCTTTGGCTGGCTCTCCTTACAGTCACACGACAGCTGCTGCAGTTCCCAGCATCTCGTGCACAGATGACAATGCCAAGAGGAAGGGAAGAGACTGTTTCTTACTATGCCTTTGCTTTTAAGAGCAGAAACAGTTTTCCCAGAATTCCTCCAGCTGGCTCCCCTTCCAATCTCGTTGACCAGAACTGGCCCTCAGGCCCCTCTCCTCAGTCATTTACTGGTAAGGGGAATGGGGACACCGTCACTGGCTTAGACTCACTGGGATTTAGCCTTGAGTCACTTGAAGAAGTAAATACCAGGTCAAAATCTTGACTCCGCTAGCAAGGAGAAGGGGAGTGATGCGGACGGTAGGTAGCAACCACTAGTGACTTAATGTAAATAGTTGCCAAAATGAGGTGTGGGTTCGGTCTTTGTGGGGCTCACAGTTCGGTGGGGAACATTTATCTAATCACGCTGAGAAGCGTGTCATTAAAACTGAGGTCAGCGCTGCGAAGGAAAAGAGAGCCAGTCGTGTACCATGTGGTCAGGAAACTGACCCACGATGTGGGTGGGGGAGCTGGAGACATGGTCTGCAGGTTTGCTGGCTTGAATGCAAATTCCACTCCACTTCCTAGCTGTGTGATTTTGGATAAATCACTACACCTCCCTGAGCCCAATTTCATCTGCAATAATTGTTCCTAGGGTTGCCAAAGTATTAACTAACCCGCTCTGGGCAGCCACTTGGCACATAGTAGGCACTTATGGGATTCCTTTCCCAGCTTAATGAGGGAAAAAATGTATGTTAGGAGTTAGCAACAAGGAAGATGATTCCTCGTGTTTGTTTTGGAAAACAAGTCTTAAACTCACAGCCATGACAGAGTCTGACATCATCAGACATAAGGCGCTTTAAGAATCACACTCTTAATTGAACATGTTCAAAGTTTGTGATTAATTGTAGTCCTTTTTCAGATCCTTTCCCTGAGCATTTCATTTTTCTCCCCACCCAGCCAGGGGTCAGGCTCACCATGTAACAGGGACAATAAATCCCTCACCGAGGATGGCCTCGTCCCTGTGCAAGCCGGAGCAGAGCTTGTCTGGATCAGAAACCACGGCGCATTGCAGTCACCTGGCGGGGTTTACGTGCGCCAGCTGGGGCCCAGCCTACCTAATTAGGACCAGAGAGTGGTCGCGAAGGGACCGGCGCGTATTCTAGGTGCCCTCCTCCAGTGTCTGTTTCTAATAACAGCAGCAAGTAGCAGAGGCGGCAGGGTGAGCACAGTGACATCACCCCCCAGCTGTTTTACACATCTGTAACATGGCTCATTAGGACTCTCTTAACACCTCATCCTTCCCTGCTCCGGACGGCTCCAGTTGCGTGAGAAAGGGTGCTCTTGCGTGCAAGGGGCCCTGGAGATCGCCGCACCGATTTCAGGGTCAAAGAGTAGCTTGGGCATTCTACCAGTAATCAGACTTTTCACAAGGACATCCCCATTAGCACACGCTCCTTGAAAGTGCTAATGGCTTCAGTATGAGGCTGGCACTTGTGCACGATCGACGCCGTTCAGGGCCAACTTTGTACCGGGGAGCAGATCATTTGCAGCAGCTGCAGAAATGTTTTTGCTTATTTTGAGCATTCTAAGTTTTTCCGAGCCATGAATAACAACAATCGAATAAATCATCACACAGTTTGTAGAGAAGGGTTGTTTTTCCAACCAGAACAACAAAAAAAGATGGCTTATCATGCGCTGTGGATATTACACAGAAAAAAATTCCACCGTATTTACATGCAGCGGTTAACTACATAGATTTAGATATTTGAAGTCTGTATGAGAAAAGCTTCCCAGATTTCACTGGGAAGCTTAAATTACTAAACGAAAACATGAAAGTTTTATTACTAGTAAGTATAATGCATATCCTGAAATGAAAGATATGTGATATTTTACAAAATGAAAGAAAAAATAGACTGCCTCATGGAAAACAGTGGAGTCCCTGAGCTTAGAGACCTTGGTTTGGGTTCTACAACTTACTACAGGGTAGGGTGGGGGCACGGGGTTCATTTTACTTCTTTAAATTTCCTCATCTTCAAATGCGGATGATATGCCTCCTGGGTTTTTTTGAGGGGATTAAAATTATAAGTATGGGGGTGCTTGGGTGGCTCAGTCGGTTAAGTGACCTATTCTTGGTTTTAGCTTAGGTCACAATCTCACGGTTTGTGAGTTCGAGCCCTGCATTGGACTCTGTGCTGAGAGCATGGAGCCTGCTTAGGATTCTCTCTCTCCCCCATCTCTCTGCCCCTTCCTCATTCATGTTCTCTGTCTCTTAAAAATAAACAAATAAACATTTAAAATATATATACAAGTATGGAAAGTGTTTGGTATTGTAGCTATCACAAGGTAAGTGCTTGAATGTGTTAGCTGTTGTTATTGCTGCTACAACTGTGTTATTGTGGAAATGCAAAGTAGCAATGGATATATGCATATTTTATCAACTATCATATGCTGCACATACCATGTTTCAACTAATATAGAATGATACTTGTTGCAAGATGATTGTTGCATTGCTTCTAAGAGAGAAAAAAGGCAGTCCATTGTGGCACATTGCTTTCTAACTACATCAGCTGTGAGGTGTTTCCTTTTCAGTTAGGATAGAATAGGTTATGCAGCAGTAACAAATGGCCACAAAGTTCCAGTGGCTTGTACAACCAAAGTTTATTTCTAGCTTATGTTTCATGTGCAGGGGATGGGAGGGTTCTGCTCACTGCAGTCGCCTGGGGACTCTATTAGTTTGTTCAGGCTGTCATAACGAAGTACCACAGACAAGGGGGTGAAATAACAGAAATGTATTGTCTCCCAGTTTTGGAGTCTATAAGTCCAAGATCAAGGCGCCTGGGTGGCTCAGTCGGTTAAGTGGCCAACTTTGGCTCAGGTCATGATCTCACAGTTTGTGAGTTCGAGCCCTGCGCCGGGCTCTGTGCTTATGGCTCAGAGCCTGGAACCTGCTTCGGATTCTGTGTTTCCCTCTCTCTCTGCAGCCCCCCTGCTCACACTCTGTCTCTGTCTCTCAAAAATAAATAAGAATGCTTAAAAAATAAATAAATAAAATTCCAAGATCAAGATGATCTCAGGGCTAATTTATTCTGAGGCCTCTCTCCTTGGTTTGTAGATGGTCGTCTTCTCCCTGTGTCCTCACATGGGTTTACCTGGGTGTCTGTGTCCTAATGTCTTCTTCTTATAAGGATACCAGTCATATTGGATTAGGGTCCATGGTAATGACTTGATTTTAACTTCATTATCTCTTTAGAGACCCTCTTTCTAAATAAGCTCCATTCTGAGCCATCGGGGGTTAGGACGTCAACCTAAGAATTTTGAGGGGGACGCAGTTCAGCCCAAAACAGGAGCCCAGATGAGGGGAGGCTCCACGATCCTTTGGCAGGGACAAAGCTACATGGAAAACCACACAGGCTCTTCAAGGCTCCTACTCAGAAACCACACTGTTGGCCAAAGCAAGTTACGTGGGCACGTTTAACCTCAAAGGGCTCTGCAGCTGGAGAAATGCAACTCTACCTTGTCCCCAGAGCAAAGAGAACTGGCCTATTTTTTGGAAAGCTTAATAGCTGCCACACAGCCCAAGTTTGGAAGTGCTAATATGTGAAAAAAAATGTATATCTCAGAATCAATAAAATGGGAGATCCAAGAGAGATGGTAATTGCTGAACAGTAAGGGTGACAGTCAAGTCACCCTCCCTGCCCACCTAGAAAATGGATTAGGGAGTTCCTTATCAATAATTTAATGGTCATAAATTTGAATGATCATTAAAAGTTTAAGAATGAAATTCTGGAAGGAATCGGTAATCTCTCGGGTCTCTGAAAATAATCTGATTTCATAGACCAAGCCCTCTTTTCTCGAAGGCAGGCCCGCGAATGTAGAAGATAGGCACCCTGGCCATTGCCGTCTCTCTCCTCACCATCCGTCTCCTCTTTCCCGGCAGCTCTCAAGGTGTGTGTGGTCAGGTTAAGGGACTGCCACTTAACAGGGAGGTGTCACATTCCTCTCACCACCATCGTTGGCCCTGGGTTGTTTTCATGACAAAACTGAGATGGCGAAAACAAAATAGATGCTTTGTTTCCCGAGGCTCTTGCTGCTGGGGGACTTCTTTCTCTCTGGGCACGAAGTAGACCAGATATAAGGTTCAAAGTTACAGGAACCATTTTGCCACCACAAGAATCGTGAGAATGAAACCAACGAAGCACTGAGGGTTGTTGAGAAACCGACCTTACTTGAACCACTGGATCTAGCTGTGCCTGAAGCCAGACCTTTTGAATAACATGAATCAAAAGTTCTTTTTTTGATAAATCACCTTGAAGTTGGGTTTTCTACCGCTTGCAGCTGAAAAGGTTGATATGGAGTGAAAAAATCTAGCAAGTACCACAATACTGTGCCCGCATACTAAAAGAGGCAATTCTTTGTGAACTTCCAGCAGTGTATAAAGAGTGGGTTTCCTATTATATCAGTTTCCTATAATACCTATCAGAATTCCTGTCTCAGAATGTTACTTTATTTTATTTTATTTATTTTATTTTTTTGAGAGAGAGTATACACAGGTGTGCAAGCATGAATGGGGGGCGGGGGAAGGGAGAGGAAGAGGGAGAATCTTAAGCAGACTCCACGCCCAGTGTGGAGCCCAGTGTGGGGCTTCACTTCATGACCTCGTGATTGTGAGATCATGACCTGAGCTGAAATCAAGATTTGGATACTTGGGACTCCTGGGTGACTCAGTCAGTTGAGCGTCTGACTCTTGATTTCAGCTCTGGTCATAATCCCCAGGGTTGTGGGATTGAGCCCTGCTTTGGGTTCTAAACTCAGGGTGGAGCCTGCTTAAGATTTTCTCTTCTCTCTCCCTCTGCCCCTCTCCTCCACTTGATTGCTCTCTCTCTCTCTAAAAAAAAAAAAAAAAAAAAAAAAAATGAATTGGATATTTAAGTGATCGAGCCACCCAGGCACCCTGGAATTTTATTTTCTGGTTGAGCTTTAATGTCATACGTAGATAGCCATAGAAAGTTCATGAATGTATTCATTTCAAAAAAAAATATCACTGAAGATATTTGTCTGTGTATCACTCACTCAGTGATGCTTCATAAACAAATTTCTTTTAGAATTCAGTGTTAGGAGAAACTTGAGGGAAAGGTATACCCTCCTTCTCTTCTGAAAATATGTGAATAACTAATCTGTAACCTCTGTCTCTCTCTCTCTCTCTTTGTTTTGGCTGACAGGAAGCTCAGAACCACATTCAAAGCTCAATTTCAGGTTATTTCATACCACCTTGTGACCAGTACATTTTCCTTTTCCTTGGTTCTCGTGTGTACCATACATTGTGTGTGTTTTTGTTTACACCACCGCAAATTCCTTCATGGAAGAAGAATGTTATAAACACACAAACAAAACATGCCCAAGTTATAAAAGCAAGTATAGGAGGGAAGGAGTGTGTAACCGCTATCCATTTCCTCTAAGTTGAGGCCTGAAAGATGAGGTATAGGAACCCTAAAAACCAGGTCTTCATGTGCATTATAGGAGCTATGCATTTTCATTCTCTTGACCCATACGAGTTTCTGTTTTTGATAAAATCGTAGAGGATTATAGTGGATTGCTTCTCCGTATGGCCTGGGGAAAGAACATCAATGGAAACAGACAGGTTTTGGCCCTTTTCTAGCTATGGGACCTTGGGCAAGTCACATTGACTTGCCTGAGTCTCAGTTTCTTTCATTACAGGAGGAAATGCCCATCACTAGTAGCTGTCGGAGAGTGTAGGGGATTCCGGATGGGCGCTACCTGGCACAGTGCCTGGCAGACTGAGGCCTCCCCAGCGTGGCTTCTTTTACCAGAGGCCTCTGCCTTCTTGCAGACCAACGCATCTGACATGACTTGCGTATCATGTTAGTTGACCCTGCGCCATATGTCCATCCATCTTTGCCCATCACCCTTCACCTGGAGACAGCCCAGGAGCCAGCTCCATGTACCCTGTGTTCTACTCCTGTCAGCTCGTTGTAGATATTTGTCCCTTTATGGATTTAGGGCCACTTGGATGAAGTCCTACATGAAGATTGCTTTTTTCCAGCAGAAGGTGTTAAGAGAAAGCTTTGCCAGGAATGATTTTCTCTCTAACAACAACCACAACAACAACACAAATGAGTCAACTGACGCCCCTCCCTCCACTTTGGCTGCTGGGAAACTCAGCAGGACGCACCACGACCGTCCCAAACACGCATCTCTGCACCTGGCAGGGGACGGGCAAGCTGTACTCCCTGACTTGAGATGTTCACCGTGTGGAAAGTCCGTGTCAGATGGCAGGGGGGCATGCTGCTGGGAGCCCAGGGCCCTGGGAATTACTTGTTTTCTCAGAGTCTTGACTTCCTTCCGGAACTCAGGACTTTCCTCTAGATTTTGGTTTCTTCACTTACATTTTCAATTGCATATTTGGTTTTGCAAGCTGCCCTAAAGCCTTTGAACAATGAGGCAGAGGTATAGAGAGCCTACAAGTAAAACAAGTCTGTCTCTTGCATTATCATCCTGTGATAGCCTGCCCTCTGTAGGGTGGCTTTGCAGCTCTTCCTATAAGAAGTGGGGTCCATTTCTCCACCTGTCCAACCTGGGCTGCTATGTTGACTTGCTTTGGTCAGTAGGGTGGAGCAAAAGCGAGGGTGTGCTGGTTCCCAGCCTTGGCCCAGGAAGTCTTGAGTGCTTCCACTTGCTCTCTCGGGCCCCACTATCACCCTGAGAACAACCCTAGGCTGGCTTGCCACAGGGTGAAGTCCTTGTGGAGGAGAGCCATCCTATAGTCAGTTGACCCCTGAGCATGGGAGAGATCCCAGCCCAAACAGCAGGGCTGCCTGGATGCCACGCAGCTGACTGTGGATGCATACACGAGCCAGCTCAGACCAGTGGAACCACTCAGCTGAGCCGAAGACTCGTGAGCAATGATAAATGCTTGTTGTCTTAAGCTACAAAGGCTAAGGGCAGTCTGTTACAGAACAGCAGTTAACATACCCTCCCCGTACCTGCACAGTGACTGCATACATAGTAAGTGCTACCTAAATGCCTGTTTTGTGGACTGAGATACACTCATGCCATGGAATTATGGACCTACATTTTTATGTGG